TATTACATACCTGTATTTAGGGGGAAATTACACCCATTTTACAGAAAAATCCCAATACATACATTGCTATAAGTTCAAAGCAATGTTGAAAGAGTGTGAATGGCACACACAAAAAAATCACTCCTTTATAAATTATTAATTGGAATTCCTGATCATGATGTGGGTACAAGGAAATCCAGTCCTTAGGGTTTTGCTCTCTGGAAAAACACCTGTAAATAAAGTTATGCACACAATTAATACAAATGTCAGAAAATCGAACCTCTTTTACATGAAGAATGGCTCCAAGTTCTGAATGCTAGCCACTTTTCTGTAATACACAATAGTTATTAAAAATGTTTCACATGATTTATAAATCCACATATAAACTAAGGTAAGAACTTTGTCTTCTGAAGAATTTGATAGGGCTAGGGAGATAGCTCAGTAGAATAAGTGCTTGCCTGGCAAGCACAAGGTCCTGAGTTCAATCCCCAATACCGAAAAAAAAAAAAATCTGAAGAATTTGATACAGTTTACATACAACTCAGTTGACATTGCTCAACTGGGTAAGCAATGAAACTGTGGTATAACGCTGTGAGGTCCAAGTAGTATAAGGAAACATGCTCTCAAAACTTTTACACTGGGGCCGGGGAGATGGCTCAGTGGAATAAGCGCTTCCGGGGCAAGCGGAAGGGCCTGAGTTCAATCCCCAGTTCGACCAAAAAAAAAACAAACAAACAAAAAAAAAAACTTTTACACTGATTTAACCTACTTTCAAAATTAACACTGCTAAAGACAGCAGCTTGAATCCTTAAGGAATTTATATTCTTTGACAATTAATGCTACTTCCAATTCAGTGTTTGAGACTGTCAAGAAGCAGGTATAGGCTGTGCTAGATACTGACCCAGAATTACACACTGCCATTCAGACTGGTACATGAGCACTAGAAAGTCAATGGCAGGCAGAAAGTCCACTGAGTATAAGGTCTAAGTTTATCCTTTGTTATACCCCTTGCATCTGCTGGATTAGATATGCAGGTGAATCTAAGTTGAAGAAAGAACCACCACTATATATAGGAACAAAAGAAAGCCTTTCAAGGATCCGTGCTTAAGGCAGGCATACAAAAATGGGCAGAATCCACAAAGGAAGGTTGCTAATAAGACACGATTGTTCCGTTTTTGTTTTTAACAGTAGCAAAGTTTTACTAAAGGTAGAGTAAAAAAACAGGCTCTGCAGAGCAAGTTTGGGCAAAGTAAAAGTAAAGAAGTACAGCGTCCACCATGAGGGTGCGCCACCACGGAAGCGGGAGCCCAGGGGTCAAGGCAGGGATTCTGAACCGTAGCAGCAAAGGCAGACCCTTCAGGAGAAACAAGAAAGGCAGCCTGAAATCAGAATGTGGAAGAAGTTAAATGCCAAGCCAGGAAAAATGAGCTTGTTTTTAGTAAATAGTGGGTTTAGGAAGAGTATGAGGAGTATGTATGAGGAAAGGCAATGAATTAGTAATGACATGTTTTCAGTGTATCAGCCTGGTTAGAACAAATGAAGGAGATCAGAGATACGAGTGAGGTAGGTCTGCCTAAGGGGCAGACTGAATCAGGAAGATCTGAGATTAAGGGGAGAAAAGGGCACATTATTTCCAATAGAAGAATGCTAACACTGAGACAACTATCCCTAAGATAATGCCATTGGTGAAGACAGGCTGGGGCAAGGAGGAAAACTGTAAGTGCTGTGCAGAGGAACAAATACATTTGGAGCACAGACCTTCTACAGTGACCTTTGATGTCTGTTTTTGACCTAACAAAGCTTTTTTGAGTCCTTCAATCAAGTTTAAATGGCTGTACACCTACGGACACTTTGCTTTTAGAGAAAAATAAGGAGGGCAGGACTCTCAGTGATAAAAAGTACAACTAGAAAAATAATTTTTTTTTTTTTCCAGAACCGGGGATTGAACTCAGGCCCTTGTGCTTGCCAGGCAAGCACTTATTCTACTGAGCCATCTCCCCGGCCCTAGAAAAATAATTTTTGACAAAAGTTTAGAATCACAAACCCCAGTTCTACATCCTGTCCTGCTAACTTTGTTTCTAGACAGTGGGCTCCTTGGGCAGAGAAAAAATTACTAAAGTGTTGTCCACAGCATTTACCACGGTGCTTGGTATCAGGAAGTAGTGGTGAAATGAGAAATGACTGATAACACAGGAGAATGCAGTTTATCTCATTAATTTAATTAAGTATGAATATCAAATAAACATTTGGTACTTTTTGCCAACTGAAAGGTTTTCTTAATTCAGTGATTTTAGATTTATATATGAGCTATGATTCCAAAACCATAGGATTCCCCTTTTTGTCTGTTACACAACTCAAATGTTTTAAAATAGCATACAAACATGTAACTCATACTTCTGTTTTTATATTTTTAGGTTCTTCCCGTTGACTTTACTGGGTGACTGTTAAGCATCTCTGATCCTCCCAATCCTCTAGTTCCTATTTAACTTCATCTTGAAACTGAAAGGAGATGGGCATTTTCAGGCTGAGACACTCTGGGCATTGATACATGCAGTGTGCACGTCTAACAGTAAGTGACCTTTTGTAGACATTAGCTGAAAGGGCTTCCCCAGACATCCTGCAACTGCAGATTCTTAGAAGCGGACATTAGAAGCCAGCAATCCCGAAGGATGGGACGGTCAAGCTGCAGCATCTACGTATTCTCTTTGGGCCTTCATATATTACCGCTTGTATGAAGACAGAGACTTTGCAAACACTTACCTTTAAATAGTTTTTAAAAACTTTAGCATCAGGTTGCTGAAGTGCTTGACAAAACTCCTGAGAAGTACGGAAAGGAGGAAAGAGGAGAACAGAATGTTTGTATTATAGTCACCATAATTCATTCAGACACTCAGTATTCTTTCTTTAAATTGGGGCGATCTTCCTGCCATAGCCTCTGGAGTCCTGGGGTTACAGGAGTTGTCACCACACCCAGCAGCCTTTTCAATCCTTGCAAAGCTGAAGTTCTGTGCTTTAGAACAATTCCCATTTCTTGCCCCTCGTTCTGAAAAACCACCATTCTACTTTGTGTTTTGAAAAGTTTGACCACTTTAGTTGTCTCACAAAAGTGGAATCATGTTGTATTTATCCCTTTGTTATTTTATTTAACATAATGTAATCGTTTTGTTTATGCTATACCATATAAGATTTCCTTTTCTATATATAAATAATATCATATATGTATATTCCCTATTTTCTTTATTCATCTATCAGTGGACATTAAGAATATTTCCAACACACAGTCTTCCTCTGAGAGCTTAACAAATCAACCCCTCAAAATCCTCACCATAAAAGGTTATATGAATTTTTAAACACAACACTATCAAACAGGCTGCTCTCACTTTGGGGAACGTTTCTCCTGGGTGAGAGGAACTCATGCCTGAGAAGAGTTAATAGCACAAAATTATGCCTGTTAACCAGTAAGAGGGTCTGTGAGCACAGCTAGAACAAAAGGAAAAAGGCATAGTTTCTCTAATACAATTCTCTAAAGAGTGTTTTCAGAACATAAAGCATATTAAAAAGGGAAAACTGGGGTCGGGAGATAGCTCAGTAGAGTAAGTGCCTGCCTGGCAAGCGCGGGGTCCTGAGTTCAATCCTCAGTACCACATACACAGACACTAAGGAAAACTGAGGCTCCTCATACTACCTTTGACAATCAAATTACTAAAAAGAAATATTGTAATTTGTATGATTCAGCAATCTGAAAAGATATATAAACTGTGGTATATTTCTACTTATGGGTATAGAATACATAAGCAATTAACATTTTTGTATTTAACTACCTTTATTTCTCAATTTTCTTTCTTTCTGCATTTAGGGAAGGGTCTACAGGGTATTTAGGGTCTCATTACTAGGTTAGACTCTTAGTGATTCTCCTGTTTACAGCCTCCCAAGAGCTGAGATTACAGGTGCTTGCCACCATGCCCAGTCTCAATTGCCGGCTCAGCATGCCCTGGCGGGCGGGGCTGGTGCAGAATCAGAATAGAAAGTTAAGTAGAAGTTTGTAATTAATGGGCATTAAGATCTCAATTATGCAAGAAAGATACTTCTTAGAAATCCACCTAATGCAGAAACAACACTGTCCCTAAATTAACAATATTGTACTGTACACTTAAAAATGTTAGGAATGTATAATAAAGTTAAACTAAAAATAAAACAAAAAAATCATAGCCTTGTTGGTAAAAACAAATTTTACTTCATACAAGACTATAATCCTAGTTTTAATCAAAGTTTGAACCACTAGGTGTGGTGGCACATGCTTCTAATCCTGGCACTCAAGAGACTGACAGGAGGATTGCCGTAAATCTGAGGCTAGCATAATCTACATAAGTGAGTTCAAGGCCAGCATGCATGACATATTGAGACCCTGAATCAAAAAAAAAAAAAAAAAAAAATTTCAACCCACTAAACAAAACACTTTGATATTTCATTTTATGGCAAAGTGTATATTATTGGACAAGAAGTTTAGATAGCCATACCAAGAAGAAAACTGAATGCCATTACTTTGTAAGAACATGAGAGTACAAGGTAACTTTCCACTCACTTACCTGGAAACAGTTTCAGATTTACAAATGAAACATGGATAAACTTGGCTCAAACCCTCAGGACAGAAGTTCTATTATGTGCTATGGTACCCTCTGGCCTACAAGGTACTTCCAGAATGTGTTTATGCAGCGCATAAAATATCATACCATAGGATTAGAAAAAAACCAAATTCTAATGAATTATGTCATCAAAATATTTAAGGTGTGGCAAAACAAGACTTATCTCTTACTAGGTTATAAGATACATATAGTGCCATTACTAGTAACACGTAATTTTGAAACAGTGACATGTATAAACAGTATCTCAGGATCTCTAACTACCTACTTGGCATGAAAACATCTGTGATTTCTACTTAACAGAGTCCTAGGGAACATTACTACTACTGTGACCTGTCATCTATCTGATGTCAGGAAATTAAATTTCTGTTAGAGATAAATAAAAATATACACATTCTACAGTAAGACTCCATGTCTTACTGTCCTATACATCGCAAAATATCATGTTAAACGCAACTTGGCTTTTTGGATCAAATTTCAGATTGAACTATATACTCTCATTTACAAAATCTGCCAGGGCAACACTTACCTGAATTATTTCGGGAGCTACTTGTAAGGAGGGCAGGTATTCCTGTTGCAGATATTGAACACATTCTGGCCCCTAAAGAGTAAAATATTTTCTTTATGGACATCAATACCACTTACAGGGCTGGTGAGATGGCTCAGTGGTCTAAAGCACCTACTTAGAACAAGCTTAACAAAAGCAAAATGACCGCGGTTCAATCCCCCAGCACCACATGCCAGCCAGCCCTGCCCCCTGGTGGGCTGAGCTGGCCACACACACACACACAAATAAATAAATAA